ACCTTATATTTGCACAAATTAGGTTGTTATGAAATACAAACTTTGAAGAAAAACTAAAACCATTGCAGATTTTTGTAATAATTTAATATTATGCAAAATATAAGTTTGTGATATTTCGTAAATGTTCCTCCAGCTCCCCCTCGCTCTAATCTGGGCCATGTTCACTCATGCAGCAGTAACGGTGAAAAACTAACCCGTCTCTGGGAGCACAATGGCGGGAGCCCCCCCGCCCCTCAGACTCCCCACATAGACGGTGCTGTCTGACAAGCCCGCCTGCCAAACAACTCAATTAAGCAGAAAAGGAGGCAAGAAAGAGGAGCCCAAACAGAGGAGGGAGAGAAAGGAAGGGAAGAAAGAAGACAGGAAAACAGAGGAGCGAGTGGGCTGCTGGCTGTCAGGTCCCGTCCACACCCAGCCTACGTTTGGCGAGAAGCAACAAAAAACACAAAACAAGAAGAAAAGAAAACTCATCTGTGATGTGTTAACTGGAATTCCTGCTTCCAAGGCCACCGAGGGTTCAGAGGGCAAATCGAGGGCCGGGGGTTCATTACCACAGCGACACACTAACACACATCTAAAAGGACCATTCCCATGTTTTCACTCATTTTGTAACGGCATGACTTAATAGTTTTATGTTTATTGTCTTATTTTTGTTATACGTATTCTCCTGGTTCCAATCTTAAGTGTAAGATGTCATGTTTCGATGATCAAAAATACAATTTGATTTTGGCAAAACATGCACAGCTTCTATTTGTGTTCCCTCCAAAACTCCATGTGTACTTTCATATCACAACTCTTAACATTTATCATAGAAATTACAAAGTGGTCAACAGTAAAGGTAAATAACTATACCTAATGCATGTGGAGCCCCCCTTTTAAAATAGATAGACTTTAATCCCCCTACACCGACTCAGAGAAAATCAGGTTTAATGGTCCAGGTGAAGATTTGATTTGGATGTGGCAGGTGATAGGAACGATCATGCCCTTTTCTTACATCCCATCTTTGTCTTGGATCTCCGATATTAAATATGGCGTAAGAATATCGATGTGTGGCTGAAAGGTAATCAATCCTTTGGTTTCAATCAGTTTTCAGATATACTCTGTACGCTGTCTTCTGTTGGTAAAGAAGTGTTGAACCGGTAAAGAAAAATGGCGATGCAGTGCAGACTCTTTACACCAAACTGAACTGACAACCTGGTTTATCATTGAGTAACAGTAATACATGTGAGAAAAACAAGATGGACACAAGGTTTTTAGTGACTTAAGGGAGAGCCGGTTGGCCTTATGTGACCTCAGAAAAAGGGGTCACTAAATAATGTCATGATTTTGACATTTGGTGTTTCCATGGGGGCCCAAAAACACTTCGGCCTGCTATGAAAAGAGGAGTAACATTCAAAAACATTCAACATTCAAACATTTATTGAAAACAATTTCTTTTTTTGCTAAAAGTCCAAATCCTTCCCCACCAATAATGTTTCCTCTTGTTATTTGTCTAACAACAATTCACTTTCTCTGTTTGGTACATGATTTTATTCATACATTTATAATTTTTTATAAATGATGCATTGGAAGGAAACCAAAGCATGATTTCTAAGCTTTTCCATGTGTCTCAGTGTGTGTCTTTTCAGTGTTTTACTGTTTATCCCACCACCTGCCACATTAACACGTAATAAACAAACTTATTGAACTTAAAATCAGCCCCATAACCAGATATTTTGCATAGCTTTACAGATAATTTCAGATTTTGAAAAGACAATGTGACCACACACCATCTCAGCGTGTCTTTTAGCCGGTGGATTGGGGTAATGAGGTGGCGGTTGATGGTGGCCTGTAAAGTTGTAATGAGGACTGCGGTGTGAATAGGACAGAGGGCAGGAATGGGTGGGAGAGAACACGATGCTTAATGAGCGGGCCGGCGGGCTCAGCAGTAACCCTGTTGTATCGGCTCGGTATGAGAAAGAAGGGGTGACAGAGGGGATCGGGGAATTTCAGGGTGGGACAGAACAGGAGGGTCTGATGTTATTTAGGGAGGGTATGAATAAAAGCTGGGTTAAAAAGTAAATGGGGGTCCTGACCAGCCCCTGTGCTCTGCTCATTGTGGAGATGAAATTTATGGCTCAGGACTTCCTAAGCCAAGGACTCCCCACGTTGACTGGTTAAGTGCTATGAAACAGTACGACAAAGGCCGCAGGCAAACAACACTCTGAGATGAGAGGCTGCAGGAGAGGGGACAGTGCACCACAATGTGTACGCTCCACATTAGAGACACATGTTGGAATATAAAGTGACTGCTTGGATACACAACAACTGAAATCCAAATGGATATATAGAAAGAAATAAGAGTTCTTTAAAGTCAAATATGAAGCAACTTGTGCATTTAAGCTGCATGGGTTCGAGCAAAAATATGTATGATCTAAAAAGCACCATCTTGTGAAGGCAGTTTGGCAACAAGTGTTGTAGAATAAAGCTTCTTCACAGCTGTTTACTGAATGGTTGACTTCTGTGTACGCAAATTAAAATCTGACACAAGCACTAGAGAATGCCAAAGCACAAGGCAGGCTGTGTTTTTCTTTGTTTAGTCCATTCGATTTCCATATCAGGACACCTCAGAGTGTTTTACAGGGCTTACACAATAGCCATCCTGTATCTCCCGATAAACATTTACTGACAATGTTTTAGCAATTTGCAATAGTTAATATTATATGAACATAATTCCCTGCACGTGTCCTCTAAATCAGACAACAAAGTGCATCCATTGGAATCACCCTGGATCTAAAGCCTCTTTCAGTAGAATGATATCATTTGTCAGTGGCCATATATTATTGGTGAAAACCTTTCAGGTATATAATGTGACACTCTGGGAATTATTAGGAAATATTGTATTTTGGGTTTAAATACTACTTTGTTCAGAGTTGAAGATATTCCTCATTGTGGTAACAATATTAACACTTTAAGTTATACTGCAGTCGCTGTTAAATTAAATATAATGGCTGGCTGGAAATTGGATGTTATCCGCTTCAGGAGTTTGGGTCGGACCGCCAACTTTCAGATTATAAGAGATGCTGTTCTACCCGTTGCGCCTCAGCTGCAGAAAGAAAATACCAACATACTTGACTTTAACTACAGAAAAATAAAAGTTGTTTGAGCTTAAGTTCATTGGTGAGTTGTCAAAAGGCCATAAAAAAACAATCATGGTCAGTGCTTTGAATTCATTTAGTTTTTTTTATATTCACTCAATATATAATAGTATATATTTGGAATGTTACTTTACCCAATTTTGGAAACTCTGTATAGCTGTTTGTGAATCTAAACTGGGTGTTATTAATGTCCATTTGTACCATTTGACTCTTGTGTTGCCTGTGTATGTCTACATGGAATGTATTGTTATATTGTCATTGTTCTTATGAGGCCCTGTAGGTCAGGTCTAGTCAAACAGAGGGAAAATGACCAATGGTAAAAAAAACAATGACAAAGGTATTGGATGTGCTAAGAGTGAGAAGATTTCAGTGCTTAGCCTTCTTTTCTGGTAGTGTGTGTGTGTGTGTGTGTGCGTGCGTGCGTGCGTGCGTGCGTGCGTGCGTGCGTGCGTGTGTGCGTGCGTGCATGTGCGCGTGTGCGTGTGTGCATGTGTCTGTGTGTGTGTGTATTGTCTTACAAGCCCTCCTCGCCCCATTGAACAACAGTGATGAAATGGAGATGAGTTAAAGTGCTAACACAAAGACTGACCAGACCCCTGCGTCGCTGCAACAATGAAACCACCAAACTCGAGAAAGTGAGAGCCTCTTGGAGAAACCCAGAGAAAGGCAGAGAATGAGAGGGGGGAGAAATTAAGGAGCCGGACAAAAAAAAAAAAAAAAAAAGAAGAGAAGAAGGGCTGAACCATCCTGAGAGCAGGAGGGAAAGGATGGTGGGCAAAAGGTGGCAGAATGGAGAGCAACCCGGAGAAAATAGCAAGGTAGCTAATCCCTCCAGAGATAAAGCAGCTATATGTAAATGAAAGACGTGAAGTTTGGCCATCTTACTTTGATCTATGAATCGGGCTCTCCCTCTCTCCCCCTCCTCTCCTCCTTCACTCTCACCCTCTTCTCCTTCCTCCTGTTTCCTTGTAAGAAAATCAAGCCTTATTTAGGTTAATCTCACTTAATGGCATCCAGCTCCTCTTTTGTCCACCCTGATGCTAATAGATTCCCAGCCTTTCACTCGCCACTATTCACATATCTACCCTGCATAATCCTCTTATTCCGGGGTAGCAATTATTTTGAGTATTTTATCAGCATTATGATTATGATTATTTGTATTCATGCAGGCCGTGCTAAGGGCCAGGTTGTGGCTGAGAATATCCTCCCTCCTACCGGTGCCTCTTATTCTCGCTCAGAAAGGGACTGCCTGCTTTCTTCCAGAGGGGTGGTGAGTTTGCAGGAGTGAACCCCATTCAGCGAGACACATTTTCTGGGCGTTTGAACATATTGTGGAGTGAGTGTAATGAGTAACACCAAATCACCCATCCCGGAACCTTAACACAGAGAAACATCAAGAATTTGAGGATGGAGGAAAGAGAGGGGGCTAATAATCAAAAGGCCTCCTTTCTGCGCAGCAGTAATTACACGGGTGGGTTTTTGATCTTTTGCTTGTTGGGGTGATGAATAGAGGAAGGGATGAGGACTGTTTCAGTATTTTGGGGTGTGGAGGGTAAAGGAGGCTTTAAAGCTCAGCACCTCGTCAGCAGTGAAGAACCAATGAACGTGAAACGGCACAAAATACAATTTAGCCAGTGCATTACTTCTCAAGTTAGTTTGGCATAAATGCAGCATCCGCTTTTCTTTAATTTAACTTAATGCAGTTGAGACGACATTAGCGAGAAACTGATGTGGTGTTATGGGTGGATTTTGTGGAACATAATGAGGAAACTAACATATATATTCAGACATAAAACAATATGTGTATTTTTTAAATACACAATACTATAGAATTAAGAGCCTGCTGGGTCTGTCTAAAAAAACAAGCAAGCCTACTTCAAACCAGAGAGATAAGCACAGACAGAAACACAAATATCTCTCATCTGAAATCAACAATGTGTTTTCACTGCTGTTATACGTCATACTTTTTATTTCATAAAATGTATTGATTTGGGACCCCTCTAGTTATAGGGCCCTATTTTTGTGACCGTTTTCCAACAAAAAAGGCAAATCACTTTAATCAAACGCAACAAACACTCAGTCATGACAGCTCACATTTCCAATAATAAGCATAGAAGTAGCTTCCCTAAAAAGTATTTAAATATATATAATTCAAACAAAACGGGCATTATTACATTTACTTATCAACTTATACATAAAAAGACACTGGCTTCCAAATACAGAATGGATCCATCAGGTTTAAAAAGTGAGTTATTGCAGTCAATTATTACAGACATCTTCTAAATGTTAGAAATAACAATTCATATAAAAAAGCGTGGCACACTGGTAACAGTCATCAAGTCCATTTAGTAACTTCAACCCCGAAGTGTCACTTTGGAAATCTTGGGACCGGATTGGAGTGGTTAAATCTGGGTAGTCTGCAGACTCCACAGGGGCACAGGGGCCCTCCGGAGGCCCCCGCAGAGCTCCAGTGCACAGGGGCCAGCGAGGCCTCCATGTGGCCTGGGGACATTAGGGGACATTTAGCAGCAGATGCCAACGAGGAGGAAGAGGACGAGGCTGCTGACGTGAGGAGGGACTCCTGGGTGAGGAGGAGCTGACTGGGGCCAGAGATGAGGGGCCACCCTCCAGCGAGCAGCAGCCGGGGGACCGGTCCTGTGTTCACCCCCATCCCCACACTCACCTCCCCCAGCAGCCGCCGCATCTCCTGCAGAGACGACCCCAGGAGGAGGATGTAGTTCCTGGCCAGAACCAGGGTGGAGATCTTGGAGAGCCTGCGGCCTGGAGGGGCCCCGGCCTGGTGGGAGTGAGGGGGGGAGGCAGAGGATGGAGAGGAGGCATACGGCACCATGACCTCCCTCAGAGAATCCATGGCGATGTTCAAGTCCTGCATGCGTTTCCTCTCCCTGCTGTTGATCTTCCTTCTGAGGTCCTGCTGCTCCTCCTGGCTCAGCTCCCTCTGAGGCTTGGGCGGTCTTTGTCCGCTCTGGAGGCCGAGCATTGGGGCAGGATTCAGGCGGGAGCTGAACCCTGGGGGGCAGTGGGGTAAGTCCTGGACCGACCGGGGGCCACAGAGAGGGAGAGACTGCTCCTGCCCCCTGATCCCTGGGTTTGACAGCACATTCATAGTCTGGTCTTCTTTAAAAACTGCCTCAGCAAAAGATAAAGTTTGAGAGAAAAACAAAAAATGGTCAAAGCAAAAACACTTAAATTCTTCTTTAAAAATCCACACAGTGAAAAAAAATCAAACCTTCATTTCCTCCACCTGCTGATCTCCCCTCTGCTGCAGAAAACAGCTGCCATCCAGCACAATGAAGAGTCACCAGAAGTTTTTACTTTTGCCTTCAGAGGTTTCTGGCTGAGCAAGTGAGTGAATGAGAGCTTCCTAAAGTGGCAGCTCAGTTTTGTCTCATTTCCACAGCTGCGTGTGGTGAGAATGACAGCTCACACAGTTGAAAAGTGAGCTAAATGCTGCCCTCACATACCCCCACCTCAGCTCAACTCCTCCCAGACACATGATGTGCTCTTTAGAAACACACATGTATATATCTGACTTTTATTTTATTTGATAGTTAAATGAAAAACAACGGGTAGAGGGTTACAACACTAGCAGAATCCCAGTGAAAATTAAGACTAATTAAGGCAAGAAAATGAAAATGGGATCAGTGGATCATTTACTTAATCCCACAGATGATGAGATCAGGATCTCTTTTTCTAAACCACACACAAGAAAACTATAAGCTAAATTAAAATACCCAATTAACATCCTGTATGTGGTTAGTAGTTAAGTCTACATTGTTTTTTATGCATTGTATTTTGAAAGTTGTGTTGTCATTTTGTATTATTCCAAATGGAGCTTTCACTTTTAAGATGGCTTTAATGAAACTCAAATTGAACATGAGCAATAGATAGGAACGTTTTATGGGCTAGTGTACATTTTATATTTCAAATGTTCTTTTCGCTGTTGCTATCTTTGCCAGGACACCCATGTAAAAGAGAATTAAATCTTGGTAAATCTCGGTGAAGCTACAGTACAATGAAGTCAAACTAATAAGCAGAATACAAAAAGTCTTACACAAAAGACAAAACATTCATAATGCTACGATACCAAGCATTTGGAAAATCAAAGCAAAATTATAATTTTTTCCAGTCGTTTGTGAATTCCATTTGTGACGATCATTGAATTTCTAAATAGTTTTACTAGTTTTGTACTTAAAGTAAAAGTAAGTTAAGAAGCATAAAGAAAAGAAGAGTATTATAGTGAAATAGACTGTCATAACTAATTAGTTATTGGCATGATAAGATACTTTTACTGTTGCTTCATTTGTATAGCTGTACAGCTGTACTTTGTCATTAGTGCTAATTAGTAATTGTTAGCATTCTAACACAGTGAGTGTGATGTACATTAGAGATCAGCGAGTTTGAATTGTGAGCATATTAGCACATTGATGTTAGCATTGGCTCAAAGCAACACTGTGCCTAAAAGCCACCAGTGAAGACTCTTGTTAGCACCTGACAACATGAGCAACATTGCTTTTACTTTTTCTTTGTGTGAAGTTAATTGAAAGCACTCGCAAAAGGCACAACAGTGTGGGCTTAATGGAATGCACCTCTACAGCCATTTAACAACTTAGATGCCATTAAGATAATCGGCACTTTGTTATGTGACAGAGGGCAGGTATAATCAGTATTAGCATGCGTATTAATTGTGTCAGAGAACAGTTTTGGCAAACAGTGAATGGATACATCATTGTGTGCAAGTAGTTAATTGATGGATTTGAGGTGGAGGTTATTGTTGCTCAGTTCTGAGGAGCTACGCTAACCAAATTGGCTGGCAGAGAGCTGGGCACGGTTCCAGACGTACAGACAACAGGCCAATTGACTCCAACCACAGGTGAAGCTGGCTTGGGGCACCGAGCAAGGCTGGAAACCTCAAATGTGCCATTCATGAGCCACAAAAAGACCTCAGCATCACTCCGTTGCACAGGGAGCCTTGCCGTCTTCCTCCTTTTCACTCCTCCACCCCCTCTTTTCCTTGTAAAGCCCATCTGAGCGGGAGAAAAGGAAGGCAGGGGGAAGAGGGGAAGGACAGCACCGTTACAAACAGAAAGCAAGTTGTTTACGATGAAAGCAGAAGGAGATGCAGAGGAGGAAGACCCTTTCTTTTCTCCCCAGCCGCTCTTTCTCTTGTCGTTCAACAAGTGAAAGATGTGTGTGGAGGCGCTTCCCTTCCCTGTCAGTTCTCCGGTGGCGTCCGGCTGGTGCTGTGATTGAAGCTGAATGGAAGGCTGCAGACGGACAGGAAAGGGAGGGCCTCATGAAAAGAGGCAGGCGGATGGCCCTCGCACCTGCAGGGGAACAGAGTGCAGGCAGCCAGGATGAATGTGTGCATGTCTGTGTGTGTGTGTTGTGTTTGTGTGCGTGCCTTGTTTCTTGACTGAGGGCCTCTCTAACAATGAGGGGTAATAAACTGACTCATGAAAGAAAACAAGCCATGATGGTTTTGACTGTATTCAGGGATCTGGTTTCAGTGTCAATAGAAGAAAAAGGACACCTGCAAGGAGCCACGCATACAGAAGTCAGAAAAGAGGAGAAAGAAAGAAGCTGGTGTCTACCAGAAAGGCGCACCTCCCCCACTTTTTTTATCCTCTGCTTACAAGGGAAAGAAAAGTGAGCTTGATTTGGGGTTCAGCCCAGCATATCCGCCTCCCAGCTTCCAGGCTCCTTTTGATGAGGCTGGACCAGGGCAGGAGTACCGGGGGCTTCAGGGCAGGGAAGACTAGTGTCTTTATGGTGGAAGGAGTAATATCCATCTGGGCAAGGCCCTCCAATGGTGGGTCTGCACCTGGGAGCTAAATGCCTCGTCTGTGTGCAGCCGTTTCCTGCGTCTGACAAACAGGAAGACACCTCAGCCAAACTCCTGGCTCAATTTATCCCACAATACAGGATGAAAAATACACCCAAAGTGACACCACTGAAATAAAAAAAAACTCCAGTGTGGATAAGGCTCATTTTTGTGTATTTTTTTAGCAATTTAAACAGAGTCATTCTTAATGGAGCACATATGTTCTTACTGTTTCAACTGAGGTTTCAGCTGTACAAGTGTACACGTTTAAAATAAATAAGTTGGACCTCCAGGTTTGTCCAACATTTTTTGGAATTTGTGGAAAATGAAAACAACCTTTACAAAATGTAAGATTTAGTATAAATAAGTACAAAACTAAAACTGACCAGAGACTAATTTGGCATACTAAACAGGATATACACTGCAAATTACATTTCAAAATATTTAGCAATTTTCTTAGAATTGTTTACTCCCTTTAATCTTACTGATAAATTCAGTTTTTCTTAAGGAGAAAAAGAAAGCTGAATTCTTCCTTTGCTGGACCATCAGGGCAGACGTTTCCTTGTTCAAACACACACACACACACACACACACACACACACACACACACACACACACAAAACAACCTCTATTGGCTCTTTAATTGAATACAAATTGGTATAATTATCAATCCACCTCACTGGATAATATAAAGACAGTTTCACAAATGAACCCAAGACACAGGCAATCTTGACTTAATGGAGTCAATTTACATCAGGTGTCTGATTGAGCTCTTTTGTGTCACTTGATGGTGTGTCGATGTGTTTTCTCTGCCTCGCCGGGAGGACTTATGCTGACAATGTCTGAAGAAGGCTCCACAAAATAGGGACGATTATTTTTCTGTGTCCTCATCTGTTTTTCACCAACTGTCTCACTTGCTGTTTAAACATTGGCTAGCCTTGCATAAAATGGCAAATCAGAATCTGTGCAATATAAATAAACATTAACTCGCTTAATTGAGGATGGATGCAACTAAGCAAATAACCCTACAAGACAAGAGCACAAAAAGTCTTCCGGTATACAAGGCTCATGACATTTGTAGAATTAAATAAATATATGTTAAAAAAATGTGTTTAAAAGTTGTTGTTTTTCCAATTCAAAACTCCAATCAAACTGCTGTTAAAAGTCAAATCAAATATCAAAAACGTTAACAAATTGAATCAGACTTTCTTAAAAACAACTAATTAATTTAGTGTAAGTAACAATTCAACTTACAAAATCCTATTATATTAAGTAACAGACATAAAAGTCCACTATAACAAGGAGGTGCACCTGCTACGGTCTTCACATACCAAACTGTCTTCTGTTTACAATGTGCAGAGTCTAATGAGAAATTAACAGTTGCCAGTGACTGATTTCTCCATGTGTCCCTGTGGGCAAACAGGTGCAGCGGCCACAATGGAAATATAACAGAGCAGGACTTTTCAGAGGGGAAAAGGCTGCTCTGCATCAAAGCAGCAACGGAGGACACACTCGTCTATTCGCCCTAACTCCTGCTCTGTGAGGCCTGTCCAAAGACATGAGAAGATTACAAGCTGTTAATAAGGTGGAACCAATCGGCTGAAGGTCTGCTTTTGTCCTTCCCAGCATGCTTTGTGAGCGCTGGCCTGGGATAGTCGGCATTTGGTGCTGATCATAGCAGGGATAATGAAGGTGGGAGGGGTGTAAGGTTTTAGCCCTCGGGCCCTTTGTGAAAGAGAGCCTAAATGCTTCACTCTCAATAGCTGCACACGCTCAGTTGGTCGCGCTTGTTTAAATACAGATGGACATTTGCCACATTCATATTTAGGGTTGCTAAGTGCTCCTCCGACACTTTGTTGTCTTGACGTTTATCGTTGATTTGTCTTGCTTCTTATGTTGTGTCTGATGATGTGAATGTATTGACAGTCCTTTATAAACACTTATTTTTCTTGATTGTTTTCTAAAGTTTTACATTGATTTCTTTGCAACAGTCAAACACAGCACTCTCCATTCGTTGCAGCCATTTCAACTTCACTCCAAACATAGTCCAACTCAGTGATTGTATATTGTTACAGCAGATGTTCTTCTTGAAACAATGTCACCAGGGATTTGTATGGTGGTTGCTAATAGGAAAGTGTTAGTTAACCCGTCCCCCACAAAGTATCCTTAAAACCCCCGATCCTATTTAACCGTGACAATGATGGATTCACAGACACTAAACGTCCACAGGAATCCTTGTCCAAAGTCAAACACAGAGCTTCTTCTTCTTCTCACCGTGCGATGGAGGTCAGGAGCACCCCTAGTTAAAGTCTAAATGTTGAGGGGGCGGGTTGAGATGTTTCTTTTGGGTTTTTATTGGCGGTACAAGGCCAAGGGTGGGTTTCCAGAGGTTATTGCCATCTATATGGAGGGCGGTGCAGCGACACCAAAGTCACTGTTAAAGTGAAAGCTGATAGCGGTATGATGGATGAGGATACATCCCGAAAATTAGACTTCTGAATGTGAAGCAGAAAGGGGAACAAGCATTGAATGTGTCTTTGGCAACAACAAAAAAAGTGTTCATTGATGCAGTCATTCTTTGTTTAATG